TCAACGGACAGAGTCTCGTCTCCGGAAACAGATATCCGGCCCCGTTTTATAAGTTTTGGTCGAGCCTACGGGCTCGGATATCCCAGATTAAATTTAGCCTTGTGCCACATCTGACCGCGTGAGGCGGTTCGTAGATATGCTGCAGTTGGGGATTTCACTTGACTCATTTCTAGCAGTTGACTACTACTTCTACGTGCCGCTGACGAATCTTATATGTGTTGTTCTTGTTCTAAGTATTATCGTTCATTACCAACCTTCGTGTGATTATTCTATTCAGTAACCTTTCCCTAGGTTACAACAATAGTCTAGCCGATCTCTATAAAAAAACAAAAACATAATTCAATATACATGTATGTGTGTAAGTGTGTGTGTGAGAAAGAGAGAGCACAGAGTGTATTTGGGTAAATCTTCAGACATGCTTATCTAAAAATAAATACGTTTTAATGCACTTTCGATCCCGGCTTAAGGCAGCCGGATGTCTAGCCACACTCATGAGCTGTGGAACAGTCTGTCTGTGGATGACTACATATATATATATATATATATATATATATATATATATATATATATATATTAAAGAATAATCACACATAGAATTAATCAGAAGTATTAATGCGATTATTGGCGACATCCATCGCTAGAAAACATAATATATGCATTAAAATCCTGTTCATCCATAGTGCGAGTTTTGATCCTTGACGAAAAACTTGTTGTCTGTAGTTTTTCAGTTTATTTGATGTTAAAATGCTAGTACTTACGGATAGACTTCCATCCATCATCAGGCATGTGTTTTTTTTCCTTATAAAATCAAAAACTTGAGACGATATACTTGTATGTCGACCGAAAGATGTTTTTTGAATGTCTGCTATTATTGACGGTTGTGTAAGATCTCGGAACGTGCAAAGACGCAACGCTAAGTTTTTCAAAATTTTTTAAGTGAGAATTTTATTTAAATATTTCTTGTGATGTGTTAAATCCACGTATTCTATTTTTACAAGTGTATTCAGTTTTTATGTCATGAACTAAGTATATAGTTCAATGATATAGTGTAATATCTTAGTAGTAGTTTTTTTATAGGAATTTTTATTAAAAACTATCGATCCTACTACTAAGACAAAAACTCGCACTATGGATGAACAGGGTTTTAATGCATATATTATGTTTTCTAGCGATGGATGTCGCCAATAATCGCATTAATACTTCTGATTAATTCTATGTGTGATTATTCTTTATATATATATATATATATATATATATATATATATATATAAAAATAAATAAATAAAATGAAAGTCCGACAATTATTTTAAGACATTTTTATGTTTATACATTCTTATTATAGATACAAATATTTAAGTAAATGCTCTGTTTATAATAAACAATATTTACCGGCCTGAAAGTCCGAGAAATTTTCACAGAAAATATTCGTCCTCCGACAGGATTCGAACCTGTATCCTATACAGAACCGTCATTTAGCTTGACGTGCCTTTAACCGATTTGGCCACAGAGGAGCGTTCGGATAGCAAGGTTGAATTCACTGTATTTGAACTTTAATCTTCTATGAATCAGAGGAACATCGTATTCACCGTGTGAACCTTCGATGTCTATTTTCTGCTATGCAACTAATGTGCCAGCAGGTTCTGATAAACGGATGTCTCATAAATAAAATAAGGGAAATAAAATACTCAATTTTCCCTCTCTTTATTTAGTAATCGAATCACATTTTGTTCTGTCGCTTCTACTGATACAATCTTGCATCCCTATCTTTTGTTTAGGCTTTGTCACTGCATTGTTTATATCGGCAGAGGAACCTCTGAAGAGAGAGAGATGTGTTTATACGATGGAGCGCCAAGCACTTATCTACAGAACAACGTGTGAGCAACTTATCCGTAAACTGACAGGTATCTGTACCCTCAGTTTCTTCGCTATTATCTCCACCTTTTTGTCTTCATTCTATTTCTCTCAAGCGCATTTTTATCTTTTCTTTCTTTTATTTATATTAATAATGCCACTTTTCTTCTTCTTCTTCTTCTTCTTCTTCTTCTTCTTCTTCTTCTTTCGTTCTTCATTTAATTTATACTCCGTCCTTTTTACTCCATTTGACATTCTTTTTATTCTTATGTTTTTACTTCGTTCCTTTTCTTATTGGTTCGCTATTGCTCATCATTTTTTCCTTTATGTTTCATCTCATCATTCTTTCTACTTCTTCTAGTTATTCTTCTCCTTTTCCTCTTCTTCTTCTTCTTCTTCTTCTTCTTCTTCTTCTTCTTCTTCTTCTTCTTCTTCTTCTTCTTCTTCTTCTTCTTCTTCTTCTTCTATTTCTTCTTCTTCTTTTTCTTCTTCTTCTTCTTCTTCGTCTTCTTCTTCTTCTTCTTCTTCTTCTATTTCTTCTTCTTCTTCTTCTTCTTCTTCTTCTTCTTCTATTTCTTCTTCTTCTTCTTCTTCTTCGTCTTCTTCTTCTTCTTCTATTTCTTCTTCTTCTTCGTCTTCTTCTTCTTCTTCTTCTATTTCTATTTCTTCTTCTTCTTCTTCTTCTTCTTCGTCTTCTTCTTCTTCCTTTTCTTATTCTTCTTCATTCGTTTTTATTTTTCTACTTATTTCTGTATTTTTAATTTTTTTTTCACTCTTTTCATTGTCCTTTTACATATTTTATTGTCCACCGCCCTCTTTCTTTGTTCGTCTCTGTTTCTTTGGCTTTTTTTCTCCCTTCATTCCGCTCTTTCTTTCTTCCGCTTTTTTTATCGCCATCCTTGTCTTTTTTTCCCTCTTTCCCACTCTTCAAACTCTCGTGTACTATTTACAGGCGAGGACGAGACTCGGCGAGTTTTTGTAACAATACCCGTCTTCTATTATTCACACCCAGAAAATCTAGGCAAAACATTAAGTCAAATGTATACAAAAAAGAAAGGTAAAAATGCAGAACATTTTTTTTAAATGCGTTAAATCTTTTACGCTATTTGTAATGGATCAATTTACAAGCAGATTGATAAGTCCGATAAACAAATACCATGGCTTTTTAGACTTAGAAATAGATAAGAGAGATTCCGAAAGCACCAGTTTCGGTAAGCAACATCGATTCTGCTCAGTATATAAATGGATAACTGGTTAGTAAACAATTTGTTACCTTCTGTGAAACTAAACAAAGCTTCGAAAACGGAGATACAATTTTATCGGGTTTATACCTTTAAGAAAAGGCGTTTGAATTTTCTAGAGCTCATAATTAAGAAAGAAGGCTTGGAAAACTTGATACTCACAGGACAGAATTGAGGGCAGAGGAGACAGTTTAAAAAAACGCATAACTTACCTAGCGAGCTTGAGTCAATGGATAGCGAAAATGTGTTTGGGAGAGATTAAAGAGACAAAAATTTATTGAGAGTTACAAAGAACAGGCAGTTGTGGAGAGCCATGATCGTCAACGTCCTGACACGACACAAAGAAAAAGAAGAAGACTATAACTGTATACTATTAGGTTACTGAGCTAGTGTAGCAGAATAATTGGTAGTTAATTTATATTCCACTATTAATGATTTTAACAATTTAAATGAAATTTACGGGCGATTACAATTTAACCTTGCATGCCACAGTGGCGTAGTACTCTGGGAACTTCAGCATGGTATAATGGTTAGCAAGCTTGTCTCTTTAGATCAATTACGACTTACTATTGAGTTCGATCCTCACTGGGTACTCTAGACTTTCTGTCAAATGCTACATCTAAGCTACTCTTAGGAAATCACCACAGTGGTGTAGAATTCTTTCGTTCAAAAACACGAGTACGCTTTAGAATATTACGGTACTGAAAAGGGGTTCCATAAATTGTAATGATTGGTAATTTATTAAAATCTTTGGGAAGTGGGTTGTATCGAACATTTCTATAGTATCTCCTATGAGATCTGGAATACCATACCATAGAAAGGTAACTTTTTTATATTATTTTTCACCCATTACAAGGTCCAAGTGCCACTCAAGGCAAAGGGATACTAAATGAGGTTGTAATGGCGTACATGCTTAGGTAAGAGTTTCATATTAACGAAGTATGTAAGATAGATGACCCTAGACATGAAGCAGGTTAACATAATAGCGGTCGAGGAAGCATTCTCTCGGGGGAAGAATCTGCCTCCTTACCAATAGAATAGGTAGAGGTTGAAAATGAGTCGACTTTGTATACGTGGCAAGACGAGTCCTAGGGGTGAAGGTTTGAGCTAGTGGAAGTAAGGAATGCAGCTCGTCTGAACATCTGCCATGTAAGTAGCGATAGGCTAGCAACGTTTCTTCTGTGGGAAAGAATCTCTAGGCTGGAAAATAATTAATCATCCACGTAAATGCGTTAGAACTCTGTCAAGTTTGGCCTCCAATCCAGATATGACAGCAATTCTCCATTTCTGGTCTGATCAGATTCTCGTAAAGATCGCGAAGGAAAGGAGGAGTAAGATACTTTCTGGAACGGTACAAAAAAAAAATGTTTTCTTTCCACCATCTTTAGGGATTGATCCTACATTTGAGTTTTACTTGTGAGCTAGAGTAAGCTTGAGTCCCAATCGAGGTTTCAAGAAATGTGCCTCACTGAGATCACAACCGTTCATCATGATTCGGGGTGTTCTCTGTGAGGATAAAAACTTACTATTTTGATTTTGAAGCTATTAGAGGTTAAAGACCAGCTTTTGCACCACTGAGCTGAACGAGCTTCGACAAATGATAAATGCACTGCCAGGCTGTGGTCATCTAGTTGATTTTTTTGTCGTTGTTTAACAGCATATCAACCATTTGCAGATTATTTAATACCGAAATCTAAATACTTTGTACAAGATTTTATTTTATTTTTAGAAGTAATAATGGTTTAGTGACACGTCTTATTAATTAACCCATATCTGGGGGAAGAATAGGTGGATTCGTACCTTTCCCAAAGGTACTTGCGCTTAAGTGACCATAAGAAACCCAACTGGAATTGTAACTCCGGTCTCCGATTAACAATTCCGAGTCATTGCACCACCCACACACCCAAACTTACAGCACCTGGTACTCCTAAGCGGTTATCCATCTAGGTACAAACAAGGCTTGAAGTTGCTAAACTTTGGTGTTCGTACGGGGGCCGGTGTTAGAACGTGATATGGTCGCAAGCATGAGGCCATTTAGATTTTTGGAGGTGCACTCATAAAGCGTCTCATAAAGCCTTATCCGATGATGGGATAATCTCAGTGTCATTTATAATTGAATAGATGTCACTTACGGTTTGCCGCTATTGAGTATCTTGATTGTCATTTTCCAGATCTCTCGGGGACCAAGTCATTTGTTTTATCTTTGAAATCCACACCCAGGACTATCTTGACTCTGAAGCATCAAGCTTCAGTCGGGTGGGGCAGGCACTGTGACATGCTCGCTCGATAGGAAAGACTAAAGAGCCCATTGGGAGAAGTAGGGTTACAAAGACTTCTCGTAAATGAGCTGATAAATCTTAATCCCATTTCATATAGAGTTACTGTAAGATTATAGAACGGAGATGATATCTAGTAGGAGATTATGGGTGACCATCTATCAACAACACGGTCCCAACTAGTCGGGTGAATTTGTAAAGTTTTAAATTAGTTAAAGTTTAAAAGGCTTCTCAGTCAGTTAAGGGTTATAGGCGATAAACGCTTGAGCGATTATGTTTCTTGCCATTCGCAACTGACTAGGCAGAAGATGTTCCCGCAGAAAGTTGCCGTTCTTTTCTGCAATAGCCTGTTTGCCACCCAAGGCTATAGAACCCAGTCTGTCCTGCTATTCGACCGATAACTGGTGAGAGAAGAGGTGGATTCATATCTTCTCCAATGGTATTTGCAAGTAAATGAATATAATGAACCCGACTGAATATTGAACTTGGCTTTTCGATTTTTCTTTCTGAACACATATCTATTACATTGCAACCAAAGGGATTCTAAGTCAGTTATGTGCCATGCGTGATACACGCTTAGGCAATCATGTATATTTCGATACATGACTGATGAGGCAGATTTTTTTTTCCCGCAGTAGGTTGGCATTTCTTTCTGCGGTAGACCAGTTGCCATCCAAGGCTACAGAACCCGGTCTGTCCTGCTATTTACCAATAGCTGGAGGCAAGGGAAGAAGAGGATTCATACCTTTCCCAAGGGTATTAGCAAGTAAGTGAATGTAATGGATTCGAATGGAATTCGAATGGCAAACTAACTTACAATTAGCAACGGAACAGCAAAATATATAACAATTTTTGTGCTAAGATAGAGAAGAACAGCAAAATTGCAGATAATTCAGCTTTTTTTTTTCTTTTCTTTTTTTTAAGCGTTTCACCACAAGCAAGGCGGGAAGCCACTAGAACGCAAGGGTTTACAGAAGATTTGGAGCAAGATCAGATAGGAGTGATATAGGAAAGGATGAGGAGAAGGATAGTGGATAGATCAAGGCAACTGGAGATGTCGATTGACATTACATTTGAATAGTTGGAGATTATAGTTCTCAGGGAAACTGGAATGGGGAAGGGAGTTCCACAGGCGAGAGGTGCGAGACATGAAGCTATTGGAGTAGAAGAGACGGCTATATTTAATAGTTTCGACAGTGAAAGGGTGAGAGCGGGATGCCAGCCTCGTAGGGCGCTTGAATTCATGAAGTCTGGGAACCAGCGAATGCAGCTCCTCGGAGCAATTGTCATGAAAGTATTTGTAAAAAAGACAGAGAGAGGCGACGGTGCGTCTGTGAGAGAGCGACTGTAGACGAGATGCCAGAACAGGGCCAATTATATTGCATATCCGCCCCTGGAGCCTATCAAGAACCCCGAGGCAAACAGAAGGGGCTCCAGACCATATATGGCAGCAATACTCCATGTTAGGATGAATTGTTGATTTGTAGATCTGAAGGATCGATTCCAGGGAGAAAACTTTCCTGGCGCGGCACAGAGAGCCAACTTGCGGTGGACGAAGCAATTGACTCAATGTATTTGTTCCATCTCAGGTCAGCAGTCAACGTGAGACCGAGCAGCCGCAGAGAGGTGCTCTTGAGAAGTTGAGCGTCAGACATTCTAATGGAGGGCAGGGAAGAATCTCTGTGGTCATTTATAGAGAGCAGTTTTGTTTTTGAGGTATTAAAGTTGACCAGCCAATTCCTGCCCCAGTTCACAACTGATTGGAGGTTCTTTCCGAGACACACAGTCAGTTTAGTTTTTTCAGCGACACATTTGTTTTTGAGGCAGGAGTAAATTGTGGTGTCATCCGCGTAGATGCCAACTTGGGAATTTATGGCGTCAGGAAGGAATGTCATTTATGTAGATAAAGAATAGAGTGGGGCCTAGGATGGAGCCTTGAGGAACACCTGCGTTCAAGGGATAGGAACTGGAGGAGAATCCGTTGAGAACGACCTTCAATTCACGGTTTGACAGGAATGATTGTATTAAGTCAAACAATCGACCCGTAATGCCATAACCGTGGAGCTTGTGAAGAAGGCCGACATGCCAAACCCTATCAAACGCTTTAGAGATGTCTAGGGCCACGGCACGAGCTTCCCCGTTATATTAAGGTTTATCATGTACAAATCCCAGGAGACACTCGAGGTAGAGGGTTAGAGTAAAAGGCAATTCCTAGGAGATGAAGATAACTGTTAACCCTAGACTTGAACAGGTTAATAATGTATTGATTGGGAGAAGCATCCTCTTGGGAGTCGGTTCCACAGAGCAATATTTCGCGAGAAGAAGATGTTCGAGTAGAACTTACTTATCACCGGTGAAATATGAAGGGAATGAGGATCGTTTGCTACAATGTAAGCGGCATGGCGGGTTTTAGCTGCCAGTACTCTTCACAGGTTTCTTACTGATATTAATGATGCCATCGTTTGGATGGGCTCCATTCTTCTCCAAAATTTCTTATCTGTTTTTTTCTTCAGGATTATTCCTGTATTGATGAATACATTCGACAGCTACATCATTTGTTTCAATTCTCTTGCAAGTTCTAGCATTTAGCCAGTAGCCATGTTTAGGCGGGACATTAGCCTATAGGATCAAAAACGTTTTTTTTTTGTCTTTTGTTGTTGTTGTTTTTTTTTTAATTTGCTGATATAGTAATTATGCGTTAAATCCCTGGGTTGGCTCGTATAAACACAGACTTAATGGACAGAGAGCTAGCGATAACAGTCGACCCTCGCAGATTAAATAATGACTTCACTTTGAAATTCCTTGAAGTCTTATCAGATCGATAGACACAGAAGGGTTGTGATAACAAGAAAAAAGAAAAAGACATTAGACTGTCAATAATGTTAATAATGATAAGTTCATGTCAGACAGCAATATTTTTACACTTTCTGTGCAAGTCTTTTTTAATCATTTCATCCAAAGCAAGGCAATAAATCCACTAAGACACAAGGGGTTACTGAGCGTGAAATAACAAGAAAAAGAAAAAAAACTTTAAACTAAGGCATCGAGAACAATAAAAGAGGAATCAAGAAGACAGTAGGTAACGACTGACAATGTAATTAATTTTTTTAAGATCAAAATTGACTGGAAAACATGAAGCCGGAACAGATTTCCACAAGCGAGAAGTACGAGAGAAGACACTGTTAGCATAGAACTTACGGTTTCATCTAATCTATTCAACTGTCAAATGATGAAAGAAACGTTATCACCAATCTAGTACTGCGCTTAAATTCACAAACTCTAGGTAACATGAAAGTATTTACAGAAAACGCACAGGGAAGCTACATTACGGCTGTTGGAAAGTGACTGAAATGGAGACACAATGTCATGACCAGTAATGATTCTTCTTTGGATTTTATCAAGAATCTCTAAATATATAGCAAGAGCACCAGATCATATGTGGCAACAATATTCAAAGTATGAACGAATGGTAGACTTATAAATATGTAAGATAGATTCTGGCGTAAAAATTGCCTAGCACAACACAGTGAACAAACTTAATTGGCAGCAAACCTAGCAATTGATTCAATATAATCTTTACACTTTTAGAACTATAATCGTGTATTCTTAAAAAGCCATTACTCTTTTAAAATATGAAGAGGTTTTTTTAAATAATTGGAAGGACAGTTTCGAATGTGTAAGAAACAATATAAATTTTCGATAACGAAAATCTTTAGTAATACATAAATGTGTATATTGTTTTCATATGATTCACTTGATATCAATGTTCCTATAAAGAACTTTATCATCTAGCTTTTGTTATTGATTTTGCTTCTAGCATCGAACTGGGAAACCTTCTTTAACAGCTGATATACGAATTTAGTCGTTTTATACAATTAAACGTCGAAATCATGATAAGCACAACGTGTTCATTTGTATATGTTATATACCGTACGTATAAACACTAATACGTTGAACACTATTGTAAGTCGGGGTAATATGCTAAGTAGTTCACCACTAGCAGTGGTTTATCTATTTCATGCCATGAGTGAGTATTGTATTTTGTTGATGTTATAAAGATTACCATTTCATTTCCAACCTCCGTTTTGGTTATTCCTCATTCAGTAACCTTTTTTAGGTTACACGATTAAACAATAGAAGTTACATTAATAACTGTCGGATTCTTACAATTTTGACTCAAACAACCATAATAGAATTATGTTTTCAAATCTAACACAGCACCGAATTAACTGAGAAATCATTTTTACGCCAGCTCAGTCGTAGTTTATAAATTGATTCAATTAGAACGACGACAACAATGATTATGAGAATGATGGAAAGAAAGGAAATAAAGAGAGAGGATGACTATCCCGATGTTCAGATGGGAACGGGTGCAGACGACAACGATCCCCGATTGCTTAACAAGATTTATTACTTTTACCCTACATACATAAAAACTTTCGACCAAACGACTTGTACTATTGCCGGTTGAAATTTATAACATTTTTCTCTTAAAACATTTTTTCATGAAAATAGGTCTCCTAATTGTACCGAATAACAGAAACCACATACTTAGAGGACTTTCAACAGCGGCAACTACTAAAATGGATAGCACGTCTAAAACGAAGAGAAAATAATGACATAAATGAATTAATTTAAAACGAAAAATAAAAGTTAGAATAACAGTTAAAAGACACCAGTTTACGTTTAGAAAACTCATGCCTGAAAGCATTTGTTGACTTTTGAGTGTTTTTCTAAATTATTTATG